CACACAGAATCTTCTTGGGCCATTACTCCCTCGGAGAGAAGCAAATCCTTCATAGGGAATGCTGGATGTGCCTGTAACAAACTATCAACCCAAGAAAACAGAAAGAGAAGGTGAAGCCAAGAGACCAGCTGCCAAGAAAGGCATGGCATCATCCACATGCAAAGCTCCTGGGGAAGGGCAGCATGCTGCTTGCTGGTGGGAAAGCTTGGAAGATAAAACTTTACAGGTGTGGAATAACCACAAGATGAAAATTCTGGCCAAGAACCAGAATACCAAGGAAGGACAGTACATTATAATGGGAAAGGGGATGTGAAAGTTTTGTAGAAGATAAAGTATCCTGACTAGCTTAGAAGCTTAAACCTGATATATTTTCCATTATAGGTTAATAAAGCAGGTGTATCAATTAACCTAGTCTAGTTAGCATCAGTTCCTGATCAACTCATCATGAATAATAAAAAAAGAAATTTCTGGGCCTCCAAATTTGAGGGTCCAATCTTTGATCCAAAGGAGTTAGGACCCAGTCTACTTCTAAGGCTTTGCCTGAGCATCCAGAAGGCTTCCTTGTGTCTGATATCTCTTTAGCTGCAACCAACCAGCAATTGCCCCGTGTAACTATAAACACCACAAGAAAATGAGTTAGTTTTTCCACTGTTCTTGAACTTCATTGTTATCTCTAATTTGTTGAAAGTTATATGGAGGAAAAGAAAGGACTCTTTATCAAGGAACTGGGTCACTTCTTAAGGGACTGAATTAAGATCATCTTTTTCTGTTGCTAAGGATGCTGCCTTGCAGAGTACCCCGGGACCTCTTTCTGAAAGGGCCAGACTGCCCTGAAGGCAGAGGCTGTTCCTGGGATTCTTGGACTGGAGTTGGTACTTCCTCACAACTCTAATGAAATGCTTTGATTTGGTCGGGGATGTTCTGCAAAGTGATGGAGCCAAAGAACCATGCAATCTGCAGAATCCGGAAACAATGTATTCCGCATTTGCAGATAAACATGTGATGTATTTATTGCGTATACTTAGCAGTTATTAAAAATATGCAATTCCAACAATAATTACATTAATGCATTAAAAAGATTAACTAATGCCATCTTACCTGTAACAGCCTTAGTCGCTGTTCATTGTTGAATCTTTCCACTGCAGCCCAGAACCACCGAATTACAATATGATTGTCATGATATCCTATCAAACCAATTATGAAAGCCCATATTACTATGGCTTTTTTACCTTAAGCCATCATGACACATTGACAAAAGACCCCAGACATAAATCATTGTCTTACTTCTTTAAAGGCTGTTTATAATTTAAGGCTAAGAAATAACACTGTAAATATGATTGTATGAGTATCAAAAGTCAAACAAAAACAACACTAAATGAAACCAAGAGGTCTCTGTTTCCATTTAGAAGTCACTAAATAAAATCAGTGGAGAGAAGAATAACAAATGAGTTATTTCAACCATATTATTTCTGAAAAATATAATTGCTGTTTTTGGAAATGCTTAACTCTTTTGGTCATTCATTTAAGAAATAATTTTTTAGTAGCACTATGCCAAGCTTGGGGGTACATTGGCAAAGGAAACAGACCCTCACAGGACTTCTGGTAAAGAACAGACATATATTAATCAAATAACTATGTAAATAAATACATAATTGCAAACTATTTTAAAACTGCATATAATGTTCATATTTTTAAATAACTTTTTATTAATAAAAAGAGAAAAGCAATTTCATTACTTTAATTTCTTCAACTAATAAATCCCAATCATCAAACTAAATGTTACTTTTATTCTATACTTTAGTAGAATTTAATAAAATGTCAAAAGTATCATTCCACAGGTGTATTAAGGTAGTAGTTGTGGGTTCCAAAAACTCTCAATGAAGAAAAATTAAGTTCGAAGAGAAGGCTGACAGAGATTAAGGTACAAACAGTGATTCAAACCAATTGACATAGTAAATGTGTACGAACTACTCTAATTCTGAGTCAGTAGAAGTAAGTCCAAAATAAAAAGTGGGCAGAAACTATTTTACTTCAATTTTTTCTTCACATGTTTCAGTGGTTATTTACCATTTGATCAGGGATACTTATTAACCTTTGGAGAAGAAAGGGATCCAAGTGAAAGATAAATAAAACTAGATTGGACATGATGATGTATAGACTCCATGTTCTCCTTTTGGCAAAGACTAGCTATTTGGTGCTGAGCAAATAGCTTTCCCATCTATAAAATAAGTACATTGGCTCTTTATAGCTTTAAAGTTTTCTGATCTTACGAACCGGTCCTTTTCTACCTCTCCTTTGTTGTTTGTGCCAAACCTTTTGGAGGAGGAGGAGCAAAAGTGTCTTGCTCCTTCTGAAAAGTGTCAGCTGCCTTCTGAACATATGGCAAGTGGCAGCAGAGCCACCTCTTCGTTCAGGGCCAGCTAGTTGGGTTAGCAAACATGGCAGTTAGGTGTCTTGCCCTTTTCCTGCCCTTTACCCATAGCACTCTCCTCCCAATTTCATTTGATAAGATTTCATTTGATAAGGTTTACAATAACCATAGAAATAGGTACTTGATTAGTCATATGTGAATAAAAGTTTATACTGTGTAAATATAATGGCTTTTTTGATTAACAGCATTGCTATTAGAATCACTTAGGGGGGAAAATGAGCTAATAATATTTATGGTAAGATGTCAGTTATGTAATGTGTTAGAGAAATTGTGTTCTAGTTAGTGAAAATAGTTTGGTTAAGCAAGTTATAATAACCAAGGCCATATATAAATTATTCATTGGGCCAACTGGGAAAGACTTATTATAGCAGTTGGACTTCAGAAATAGAAGCAATTGAAACTGCAATTTAATACTACTTTTCAGAGAAAACGGGTGAACAAGGCCAGCCCACAGCAACAGTGAGGAGCTGGGAGAGCCAAGCACAGGCAAAAACAAAAGTAAGTTATTTTTTACTCCAAACTTTAAATTTTTTTTTTTTAAATCTGTTTCAATTTATGGATAACTGAAGATCTGTTCAGCTTGGTTTATTCTGCTAAATGATATGAATTCGGGTACTTAAAGTTTGTATTTTTCACTCTCCAAGTTGAGAACTATTGCTAACTTCTTACATTTTGAGTTAAAAAACCAAAACCAAAACCTAACCCAAAACAATTGCTATTTGTCATGACTTTCTGAGGACTTCATAATACTACAATAAATTTCAGAAAGTATATTCTTTCTTTGCTTAAAATTATTAGATAAAACTTTAACTCTGGGTTAGCATCAGATCCCTTTCAAAGTGTATTAATTCAACAATCAATTTCAATGCCTTCGATCCCAATTATTAATGGAGAATATGTACTGCACTATAGAAATGCCACTTCTAAAGCTTCCCATTCGGTGAAGTGTCAGAGAGTGCAGTTTTTAACTAATCTTACTTTTTAGTTGAACTTAATGCTTGAATTTAGAAGGGCTTTTTCAGTAAACTTCTTGAATTTTGAGAACCATGTCTTATTCCATTCATGTGTTTCAACTGTGAATTACAGTTGTTAAGTAGTTCAATGAAATATAGAAAAACTGTGTTTGCTCATCAGGTGGTTCACAGGGTGTGCCTCTTCAAGTTTTAGAATGAAGATAGAATAGGTGGAGTTAGAGCTCCTTGGTGCTTCACTACCAACATCATAAAACAATTAATTAGTGTTCTTATGGTCATATTTCTTCACCAATAATTAAGTGTTATGACATCCTCAAATGGTGTGTAAATAGTCCTTCCTCCACTTGACAGATGAGGTAACTAGGAAGAGAAGGGAATGTACCTAGCCCAAGTCTCAAAAGAGACTGCTTCAGACGTATATGATTAGAGTGCAATTGTTTTTGCCTGTCCTGGATTCAGACCAGCATGCCGAACCATTTACCTCTCTTTAATTTCAAACTTAAAACCCAGCCATCTATAAATCAAATTTCACCTCCTCTATATTCTGTGTTGTTTCTCCAGTCACTTAGGTCTATTTCAGCTGTGCCTGCGATGACAAGTTCTAGTTCTCTTGCATCAAAAACAGATACCAGCCTGGCATCCACCACCTATGGAATAAAAAGAAGACAGGGTATGGTTTAAGAATCTGGAGAAATCTCGGCTATAATTAAGCTTCATCAGAAAAAGAGGACATAAGGAGTTTGGGGAATACTGTGTATGTACTCTGTGTAGGCACTTTAAAATCTCTAAAGCTCTCTACAAAACAGGTATTTTTAGTACGAGGTTGATGAGATTTTCCTCAACAGAATTTTTATTTTATAATTGAGCACTGATTAATTCAGTTGTTTTTCTCTTTTGAAAAAGATCTAGTGCTCCTACAAGAAGTCACATGAAATACTTGTAAAAACTCATTCAGACCCTCAGCTACAATCTTTTCACATATCAAGCATGAGATAAGATTACCCATATCTAAGCATGAGTAAGGTGCATGACTTAAATGTTAGCAGTGGTTATTAAATTGTCAAATGCTATTTAAATTCAGGTCATTTTAGTTCAGTGGTATCTTGTAACAGGGCCTTAAGCTTTTTTGTGTTCTTGAAGCATAACAAAATTGGAGTTTTTAAATCGAAAGGAAGCAGTACAAACAGCAAAAGAAAAATTGAAATATGGCACACATATAAAGTACAGTAAGATGGGCAGTGGTATCATTGATATCAGACCGCAAAATCCCACTCCTGTTGACTTTCTTTACCTCGTAGAAGCCGCGCACTAAGCTCTCTGTCTGTTGCACAACACCCCTCTCGATCCTCCATTTCACCATCCTCTCGATGTACTCCTTCTTGTTCTTCTCTGTGACTGGGATATTGGCACCCCCTGGTTTTAATTCTCGTTCAGTAATCTGAGATTTAAAAATGAAAAGACTGACCATAAAGCAATACTTTTGAGGTTGTAAGGACCCTGCTACCAATGAGCTGAAATCAGCTGGCTCCCTGTCCCTACCCTAGCCTGGGCTCATCCCACAATCAGGTTGTGAGAAGCCCAGGCATACACCATTGTTCAGTAAAACCTGGGCATTGAGCTAATGTCTGAAAGCCTCAGTGGTTAAAAAATACATATTGGAAGTGCTGAAGGTTAAGTTTTAAATCCTTACTGAACAGATAAGCCGTTTAAAAGAAAATAAATTGGCTCCAGATTCTGACCCACTGCTATTTGAATGTTTGACAAAAACACATTTTCTCAAATTCATTTAGGGTTCAGAATCGACTACATATACAAAGCTCAAATTTAAGTAAAGATTTGCTTTACGGAAACAGAATTACATTCAAGTGGATGTTAAATTGAGAACTTCTTTTCCAAAACACAAAATTCAGAAAACCAAATATTGCCTAAATAAAAATATTAGTTATGCATTAGTATCCAATTTCTGAAAGAAATCTTTCAATCAATCCTTCCATCAAATTTGTACAAAATTAATATATTTTTGAACCTTCACCAAAATATTTACTTTGTCTCAGTTTCAATACACAACCATCAGTTTCAGTTCTGCAATATGAGAGCTAAGTACAAATGCCAATTAAATAATTTAATATTCAACTCTGGGATAGCATGGACTTTTAAAAACTGTATTTTATACAAGGTACATTCTAATATGTGGATACTTTAGTTGGAAATAAAAAGAAGATTGCTTACAATACACAAATAGTTATTACAATCTGTAAATTAGAACATCTTAACCTATAGTCGGCATTAGAATAATCTTTATAACCAAGATTGTTGTACATTTACATAAACCTGGGTTTAAACCACCTAACAAGCCACAGATAAATAAGCATTGAATCTTAGCCACTGAGTTAATTCTTCACCAACCAAGAGCCTTCAATTACCGCACTTAGTCACCAGTTATTCACATACACAGACCTGCCCAAAAACTTCTTCATTCACAGTGAATGTGAGGTCCAGGATGTCATGGATATCATTGTCTTTCATCCATTGCAAGCTCTGGTGGAACTCTTCATCAAGGTATTCCAGATCACTAAGGTCACACAGACTAAGACGACAGATAGAAACAAATATGTGGGCATGGCTATTAGCAAAAACTCAGAAAAAAGACTAAGCATTAAAGACAAGAACAAAATCATCAAGATAGGCAGTGATTTCTGAAATGTTCTTAGTCAAATTCAGTAACCAAGCCAGTGAAATAATGCAGAAATTTAGTATAAAATTTAAAAATCCTCGATATATATAAAATGCTTTAGGAATCACTCAGTCTCTCTTTTCTTTCAGAGAAACCGGAAGAGAAAGAGTGGCTGCCATTTGCACAATTACCCTCAATTAATGCCAGAGCACGAACTGGAACTGGGGTTGACCGCTTGGGTCCAGTATTTTTTGGCTATGGTAAAATACTTTTAAATATTGTTCTCTTAATTAGAAATTCTTCGTATGTTTCAATACTGAACTTTAACACTCCTCTTCCCCCCCAAAGACTAGATACCGTCATCTACATTTACACATATTCCCTTTTTCTTCACAGTTCTTACTATTTCTCTGATTCTGAAAACAGCAAGCCACAGAATTGTTCTCAATTATAATAATTTTCTATATTTCTCTCCTCTTTTTTCTTGCTGAGTTAGGATCTGCATGAAGTGGAGTTACTATTATATAAGTGTAAGATGGCAACAATTGACTTAGTTGTTTTGAAATTTCCTTCCATCAGCCCAATTTCAAAGGTCATTTTATTTGATTCAGTCTAAATATTTATTAGGCATCAAGTATACCAGACATCTTGATAGCTACTTGATAAACACTTACTTTCCTCAAGGAACTAGTGGTCTACTTATGGAGATAGGCCACGAATAGATAAGTTAATGTAAGGTGACAAGTAATAGCCTAGGGTGGTAATACTTATAACTTGTGCATTTTTTATAGGTATGTTACACTCCAATTAGAAAATAAAGATAAGATAGATACAGGGAACTCTCAGAGCAAACATGAAGGACATTACTTCAAACTGGAGATTCAGGAAAAGCTTTTTGGAGTAGATGATACCTATATTAAATTTTACAGAATGTTTAAAAGCTAGAAAAGTAAAGGGAAATGGATGAAAAGGTGAGAAGGCGAAAAAGAGAAAGGAGAAGAAGAGAACAATATGAACAAAGCACAAAGGCATGGAATATACAGAATACTCCAAGCATATCAGCAGGACTAGAGAGTTAACCACAAGACGGATGTCCAGAAAATGAGGCTGGGAAAGTAACTGGAAACAAGCTTTGAATGTCATAGTACGGAGCTTGGTCATTCAGAACTATTGAAAGGTTTTAAGACAGGGAATAACATGATCATATATGAGATGTGACTTTAAATTGTTTCTTTGGAAGTTGCACTGTAGAGGATTACTTAAAAGGGGAGAGGGATGGTTATTATTGGAGGTTGGAGACCAATTAATAGATCACAATAGTAATCTGAACAAAATAAGATAAGGGTTTTAATTAGGACATAGTTGTTAAGGGTAGAGAGAAGACAGATTTAAAAATTATTTAGAAGGCAAATGTGGAAATTAATAAATGGTTTTATTGGGCGATATAAAGGATATCTAAAATAGAGGTGGCAAATAAACTCATATTGCAAGCTAACTCTGATTAATTGCCAGTCTTAAAGGCTATAAGTTGAAAAAATTCCTGAGGCCAAAACAAGTAGGAAAAAGTACTATAAATAATTTGTGAACATATCGTGGGAATGGGATGGGAGGTGAGGAAGAGCAGACCATGTGTTGTGCATGTGCCATCCCTGTTTGGGGGTAACTCTTGATTTGAGACCACAATAACTTGAGAATATTGGGACCATGGACTGTGACTGGGCACATGGGAGGAGGTACATTTTCAGGACAGGGGAAATTGATGAGTTTTGTTTTAACCTTGTTGATTTTCAGCTACCTGTGAGACATGCAGGTGGAGATATTCAGTGGTCTGATAATCACTTGAGCCTACAAATCAAGGGAGATCAAAACTGAGAGTGTAGATTTGAGAGTCAGTAGATGAAATAGGTGAAGAGATTTCCCCATGAAAATACACAGATAAAGAAAAGAAGGGAGCTAAGAATGGAAGCTCTAGGAACACCAAGGTTTAAGGGAAAATTATAGAAGCTCACAAAGGAGACATAAAAGTCAAAGAGAACAGGGAGATGACAGTGTCATGGACGCCATAGAGAAAAGACTCAAGATAAATGGGTATAAAAAAAAAAAGCATCAAAAGCAGCAGAATGGTCCATTAAGATAAGAACCAAAATATATTATTTAAAAGCTTCCATAGGTTACTGGTGGAAAAGAAGCCAGACTAAAGTGTGTTGAGGGTGTGTCAACAGTTGATATAGACTACTCTTTCAAGAAACTTCAATGAGAAGAGAAGAGATAAGCAATGAAAAGGGAAGAGGAAAAATGGGCCAGGGGAAACCAGAGACGAAGATGCCCAGTGCCCAGTTGCCCAGGGCTTCATTAGCCCAGATACCAAAAGGGAGGATGGCAAAAAGTCTTCTTATGAGCCCATGAGGAACACTTTGTTTTCATTTGAGGTCTCGGCTTCCATTTTATAGAAAGCAGGTACATGGCTTTGTTTTAACCTTGTCGATTCTCACTTAGAGAATGAGCTACACAGAACCAAGACATCATTCTGTGCTTTTTCACTGCAAGTTTTAGCCACTACCCCCATAGACAGTTGCCTTCTCCTGTTCAGCCTCGTAAATTACTACTGATTACAGGAGAGAAACTGCGCTACATTTTACAATAATTGTGAACTTTCATTGTGATAACAATGAAGAAAAGTTATGTGAATGCTAAATTTTCATCTGCTATCATAAATTACTGTCTTGCATACTGGTAGGTCTCAAGAAAAATATGAGACTGACCACCTCTAACAAACAAACAAAATAAGACAAAAGGAGAATGAAAAATGTGAACCAAGAGTAAGCAGTTGAAAGTTTGCATAAAGCAAAATATAAAGAGCGTCTCATAAAGGATAGGGGGCTGTGAGTCACCAAGGCTAACATAAACTATTCTATTAATAATCAGCATTAACACCACAGGAATTCCAGTGCCGTATTTGAAGTACAATTGTTTTCAAGAAACACGTGTTGCAACAAATGAGAATAAATTATTTGGCGTGGAATGAAACTAAGACTTTGGGGGCAAGACAGGATTAAAGGATCAGAAGCAGGAAAAACACGGCAACTGTATTTGAAACTGTATTAGTTTCAGAAATCTAAACCACTATTAAGTTTACTAACAGATTTGAGGTAGTGAGCAGATAAATGACATTGACAAAAGACCCTTTCAATAAAGGAAGTACTGCATTCTCACATGCTAATTACACAGGCAATAAAAATACTCTTACATTCTGAGAAGAGCCTTATAAAAGGGCCGTGTGAAGAAGGCATCCAACAAATACTGGTGTATTAGCGCAAGACCAAGGATCCTACCACTGAACCGGAACCTGTGAAGGAAAAGCATGAGATCACTTACATGACATGGAGCAGTTTCTAAATAGTTCTATTTGCTTTTTAGAATGCCTTCCAGCTCTAACCATCTATGTTTGTCTAAGATTAATTGCCTACTAGGTCCATGAGAGTTTGTGTGCTGTAGGTTGTGTCTTCGTTAGGCCAATATTCACATCTACTTGTTGAAGAAATCTGTTTTACTCTGATATTTAGAGAGATATTGTTCCATCTTCACCCCGTGTCAATCATGTCCACTGTGTAGCACCCCACATGGCCATCATGTCAGTGAAGCCACTGACTGTTAGCATACCAGTGAAGCCACTTCTAAGAGACACTGACAGAATGATACTGGTGGTGGGGGTGGAGATTCTAATTTGCTTGTATGAATATTAGCAGGATTTCTCTAATACAAACCCAGTAGCAATTCCCTTTTCAGGAAAAGCCCAGTCTCAAAATGAAAAAGTTCCTGTTGCTATTCTCTCTTAAACCCCACTCCTGAAGATAATTATCACCATCTAAGAATTATGCATGTGGACATTTGGGGGAGTTTCCTCAAAGGACATTCTGTTCTCTAAAATTTCAAGGCTCAATTCTATTCTGAATCACTTTGGAAACTTTATTAAATATATCTGTCATGACTGGATTTGCTGACTGAGATATACACTCATTTTCTCTTTCAAAACTTGAGCACTCAAGTTTCTAGCTCTTTGAAAGTCTGATGCCTTCCAAAAGTGTAAATCCACACTGAGGTTCATTCTGTCTATTTGTAATTTTAGTAGAGGCAGCCATTTTAAGATTAATGTTCAGCAGATTTGTTTTTCTTTATTTCCACTTATGTTAGCATAACTGCAATAGCTACAGTTGGGAGGACTCCAAATTGTAGCTGAACGGAAGTTAATTTGAAGAATAAGTCCTAAAAGTTATGCCCTCCACCCACCAACATTAATTTTATGACTCCAAGAAATTTCTTCATGAGTCCTACTCGTGTCCTTTTTTTGTTGTTATTACTATCAGTGAAAATGAGCAGAAACAAGTAAATGGGGTTATAAAACTAAAGTCTGTAAATGCAGGGATTTAAAAAAAAAAATGTAAGGACTTCTGGTAAGAGTGCAATTTGGGATTTTCAGAATAAATAATTCCCAGATGGGAATCCTATACCCATTCTCCTTGATGACTTCATGTGAGAAATTAGGAAGGGGGCTACCCCTGGCTACAAACTACAAATGGCTAATAGGGTAAATGGCCACCGCTGTGACGCTGCACTCCTGCCCTTCTGCCAGGGTTCTCTTCTACCAACAGTCCCTCCAGGTCACCCCATCCTCCCTCCTCCTACTAGAATACCATCATCACCTCACCCACGTCCCAGCTGCTCCACCCCTCCCCCACTGTTAGCTACTTCCCCAAGGGCTGCTCTAGAAGCTGCCTGATCTCTGGGTCAGGACTTTCCCCTACTCACCCTCAGCCCACCTCAGAGCTCCGAGATGACCGAAGGTACAGAGAGAGATTCAGGGGTCTCGCCAGGAACCTAAAGTCATCCATAACTTTCTTTGAATGGGAAAACTTTTTGAATTCTACCCAGCTCACTTAAAATTGGTCTTATGGAACATACTTTATTTTTAGTTTGGAGACTGCCTGTATATATAACTTGACAACAAAAACAAGAGTCAAATGAGATATTTAATTGAAAATATGATTTTCTCAAAAAAATGTTAAAAGAAATATGGATTCCTTATAAAAAATAATATCACAGAAAATCAATAGAAGAAGAATGTTGGGGGAAAATTACTTACCATTCGTGGTGATTGTCTACAAAAGCAGACATGGGACTTATTTGTACTGTGTATGTGTCATTGGCTGAATATTCAAATAAGCCATAATATGGGTTAAAGAGTTCTCTGGACACGAGGAAGAAAAACTCTCTGGAAGGTCCACTGTAATCCAACCTTTAAAAAAAATCAACAAAAAGAACAACCAGTTATTATTTTTTCACATATATTGGGCACATTTTCTACAGAGCTCAACTTTCTAGAACACTCATTATAAGCCTAACTGTCCACATTCCAGGACTGTCCAAACAAATCACACAATCATGATTCCTGATCTCACCCATGCCTTGAACCAGAATGGCAAGATGGACATTATAAACGGAGCATATCGTAAACTAAAGCTACCTATCAGATAATGGATAAAGAAGAAAATATACTAATAATTTGATTGTATAAACATGTACACAAAGGTAAATATTTTAAATGTCTGGAATGAGATTACAAGGAAAGGGAGTACGGTGGGAATGCTTAATTTAAACAGGGTAAACCCAGAGAGCATTAGCTACCTACATCCATGGGATATGGAGTTCACATGGATTTCTGAAACTTTTTTAAATGGGGGAAGAAAGAGACTTCAGTGATTTACTGAGAGGATATTACAGATACAAGCCCCGCTATGGAGATCAGAGGCAAAACAATGGGATGATACGGTTCAAGTGAAAACTTCGAGTTATAAAACACCAAGGAAAATTACAGAAGAGAAAAGTGAGGGACTCTAAAGCTTCCTAAGGAGATAAGGAGAGTATTTGGAGAAGAGGCTGAAACTCTAGAACCCGAACTACAGTGTAAATTCCATTTTACTCACAAAGACATCAGGGTCAAAGTGAAGTATGAGAAATGATTGTGTTAGGTTTGAGGAATGACAAGTGGCCAAAAACGCTGAGAGCAAAAAATGCCGTAAAGAGGAGTTTGCAATAAAGCAAATTGGTATTTAAAATGAAAAGTATAAGGGACATCTACCCTATTATAAGTGATTATACATGGGCTCAAAGACAGGAATGCTAAAGGGAGAATGAAAGAAATGGGTTAAGTTGGAGTGGTAGGATTTCATAAGACTTCAATTGTTCACACTACTTTTTTTTCTCTTAAGGAATTTCCTCCATAGACATACACATAAGTATAATTTTTAAAAATATTTTTATTTTATATACAGTTTTATATAAAAGAAATCATCTGAGTCTTGCCCAGTGATAAAATTGTGCGATAGAGAAAAGGATCCTAGTATAGGTGGAAGATGGAGCCAGAAGACTAGCAAGAAAAATAAAATGGCTTTTACACGTCTTAGTTGAGAGTTTAATAGAATTTACTTAGAACAGACTTCAGCTATTTGCATGCTACTTCCTCAATTTTTGCCGTATCTGAATATATACCATTAACTTAATATTTTTCATTAAATCAACTTTAAATTCACTTGTTTTTTTCAATGTAGCCTTCTCTTACACAATATTATGAAATTATGATGTGCTAGCTTTATATTTTCCAATACACATTAACAAAAATACATAATTAAAATAAAAAAATGTCAGTCTGTGTAATAGTTAAAATCATTTCATACATCACCAGTCCACACTGCTCTTTGTAGACTGACAGGAAACTTATGTGTGCAGAAAAATGCAAACCTATCAGACTCTCAGATCCAAAAAGGCCTTAAGGGGACATGATGAAACTGCCTTCTTAGGTAGCTGAATATAATGTGGCTAGCAGGTGGCCACCAGAATTGGTAGGACTATGCTTAGATTACCCTGGGGATTCTCAAAACAGGACTCTGGCTGCCTCCCAGGTGCAAGGATGCAGACTACACCTCCTCGTGCTAAGACCCAGGCAGCCTCCTGTGGCTTCCTCCCACTGTCCTAGTTCTGGTCTCTGACGCCACCAAGAACAAATACTTCTTCCACTTGAATGTTCTTCACATACTAAGAGGCTTTCTTTCAACAAATATTTGAGTGCCTATTATGTTTTGGGTACCAATCTAGATGCTAAAGATACATAATTTTTTGAAAAGTCATTTTCTATAAGAACTCTTTAGTAATTTCTGTATGCCTGGTTTCTGCCCCTTCTTGCTGCCTTCCCCATTCCTGAACATAGCTACTTGTTTCAACCTCCCCTCAAAGCAGGGTTGGGAATTCCCTTTCCACCCTGGTCACTCTACTCTGGACACTCCACGGTGTCAAAGTCTGACCTAAGGGATGTTGTCTAATACTGGTCACCATACTTTGGGGTGTGGTCTTGTCAGTAAGGAGCTTAGAAAGGGCTCTTGCCCTCTCTACCTGGACACTTCATTCCACTACTGCAGCTTGAAATTATCCTGCCTTGTGGAACAGCCCCTTTGTTGACTCACTGAGCTAGTCATCAGCTCAAACCTTTCACCTGTGCTGCTTTAACCCAAGACTCTCCCATCCTCTCCACATGTCACTGTATCTTTTTAAAAGCTAAGTCTTTTACTTTTCCTTACGAAATTTCACATTGTGTGATTTTGTCCATGATTCTAGTCTACCCAGATCCCTGAGGATGCAAAACATCTCTCTGATTTCTCTAAATTTCTTATGGTTGGTGAATTTTATCACCTGCGTCTTTCCAGAAATCAAGAACCACAGAACACAAGTGTTATAGCCATCCTAGAAGTCATTCTGTCTAAACCCTTTTATTGAGAAGACTCAATCTGAAGGAAATCACTAACTTGCATCAAATGAACGCTGCAATGGAGGATACAGTTCTTGATGCATGATTTCTGACCGCAGGATTAATGCTCATCATTCTTTATGGTCTTCAGTAAGTTTTAAATGTTCATTAAGACTAAAAAAAAAAAATTGTTGTTTATAAAGCAAGGTTGGCAAACTATGGCCTGTGGACCAAATCTGGTCCACCTCCTGGCTTTATAAATAAAGTATTATTGGCATACAGCCATACCCATTTGTTTATGTGTTATCTGTGGCTGCTTTTCTGCTAAGATGACACAGTTGAGTATGTGGGACAGGGAAAGTATGGTCTGCAAAGCCTAAAATATTTACTATCTGGCCCTTTATAGAAAAGTTTGCCAACTCCTTTTACAGGAGAAAGTAGGTGGAAAATGCAGCTTTATTAAAATGCCCGGCTTACTAAAAAATCCTCTTCTTTAGTAAAATCCCTTGAAGGAAATATAAAATACCTACAATGTCCTATGGTGTATGCAATCTCAAGGAGTGGTCACGACTATGTATGAGACAGTGAGTGGTCCTAGCTTTGCAGGGCTTTCAAACAAAATCCAGGCATACAATAATAAGGGAAACCTGAGCCAAATATTTTATGATTCAGTTTTCTTACTAAGAGACAATGAGTATGAGCAAAATGGATTTCTAGTTGCTTAAAATTAAATAGTTAGAAATAGGTTTTCTCAGCATTTTAATAATACTGCATTTAGCTGAGTTATTATAATTATCTGTTTGTGTGTCTGCCTCTCCTATATACCTATCTAGACTGTAACCACACTGAAGGCAGGGACTATGTCTTTCTCATCTTTGTATCCCAAGTACTTAGCCTGATATATGGTAGGAGCTCAATATGTATTGTTGAATCAATGAGTGAAGCTCTCTGACGCTCTTTAAAGAAAATCAACATAATTTCCATTATCTGACATCTATGGATAGAGAGCTTGGTGCTTGTCATTTCCAGGTCTAATTTCTTCTAATATGGTAAAGTTTGTTAAAACAACAAAGGTGGTTCCTTTATTACGATAATAGCTGAATCTGGCTAAAGATAACAGAACGTCCCTTGAGGAGTTAATTTGAAAAGTAAAACTCCTTTCTTCCCAAGAGAGAACAAAGCTAACAGCTCCTCTAGGAAGAAAATGTATCTTCCTCAACTCCTCATGTTTTTATCTGCTGTTTTTTAACTCTGGGTGCACTAATGGAGTCACTCTAAAGCAAAGAGAGTTTCTGAAGTTTGATTTGATTACAATCTAAAATTTAGAACTGTGTATCTGAGAGCACGCTGTAGGTTACACATGTCTACCAAATTAAATAAGACATGTCTCAGCAGGGCATCTCGTGCATATGCTTCCTGTAATGTCTTAGCAACCTTCACCCATATAAATAGTTAACATGAGTCATATCACAGGGATCGTTTGTTACATTCCTGTTTTGCCAGTTAGGTTGGTTCCACAGCTAAAGGCTTGGCACAGAAATACAGAAACTCTGGACAACGGGTGTGTAGCCACACAACAGCTGCATCTGAGGGCATTTTGGAGTAAGCACAGATGTCTTTAGGGTGGCAATGCAGTCTTGAGCCCCATGAAGTGCTGATTAAGCATTTTAAAACACCACCATGTTGCCATGGTGACACCGCCCAACTTGTTAGTGGCGTCCAATATCTGTTAAAATAATTAATTTTATTCCCCTCTTCTTTGTTTTCAACTAAAAATTACTGAAAACAAAGTATTTCAATAGAATTAGACTATAAAATGAAAGATGATGACAATGAGTCACAACATCATTTCCTACAAGTTTTCTGGAAGACAGAAAGTTTTACTTTCTTACAAGTCAGTTCAACACACATGACCTATGCACCTGCTGATTCACCCTCAAATATTTATAACAGCAAGGCAGTGGTTCTTTAGCCACTTAAGGATGCCTCATGGATGAGTAAGGAATTTTGTGGGCAATTAATAAGACAAACTCTGGTGATTCCAAGCCTAGCGTAGAAATGGAAGCATCCTTTTTCAGCAAGGTTTGGGTTATTTAGGTTATGCTGCAGATGTCTCTTTTGGGAGGAAAACAAGCAGCACCATAAAGTTTAACTTGAAGCTTTACAGATTTTTAAGGAATAAATGTTAAACTCAGGCTTCCAGACAATTTCTAGTAAGAATTAGACTAGTTATATGTAAGAGCTGGTTATTTTATAAGCAGGGCCGCAAAAAAACCATTTCAGCTCTCATCCTCCCTTAGTTGCGTATATTTGCCTGTCTTGGGAAAAAGATCACAGAAAGAGCTCGTTTGTTCCTAACCCCCAACCCAACAACTAAAACTGTTTGCACATATCTCCTCCCTGGTCTAAGTGTGGCTTTGCAAGACAGATGATTGATGTCATGTAGATGGCACCAAACATATAATGAACTCATTCTTTCTTAAAGAAAGGTGCCTTTTACAGTGTTGGCCATGGAGAAAAAAAGAGGTGAGGCAATCACAGTGTAAACATCCTCTCTTTACTTAGGCCATTATTTCCTTACTGTTTTGAGTATTAAGAAGTTAATGATCCAGGATGCCTTATCAGAACACAATAGTCTACCTAGCTAACTTTTGACACCAACCATGTAAGCTTTAATTGCTAGGACTTTCAATTCAGGAGAAAATAATGCTGGAGACTATGCAGTGCTCCACTGGCCCCCTTCCTAAAGAAGCAACTTCTAGGCAGACAGAAGCCCAACAGAAAGAGGCAACCACAGCATGCAACTTCCTGCTACATTCAGTCAAGATGACTCAGTTTCCAGCCATTCCACCACTGCTGACCTCCCCTCTGCCCCACTTTGCAAGAGCAGATAACCAAATTAAGCTGGGTGGAAATTTTAATAACTAGAACAAAACCTCCAGCTCTGACTAAATTTAATCACAGTGGTTTGCTTAGAAACTATTTTCTTTTTGTAAAAAGCCAAATATAACATGAAGCATTATTTTAGCAGGAAAAAATAATAAATATCAAATAATATATTTGTATTACTAGGCCCTTGGATTATTTTTGTATTTTTTAATTGAATATAGGCATCACTAATATTCTGGTATTAATTCTATGTCACATGGAATTTGTAGTTATCCTGTAAATTTCTGACTGTAATTTTTTCCATCATTTTTCTTGACTGAGCTCTTCCATTTCAGGAATAACCTATAAATCATGTGTCATAGCTATGCAAAGAAACAGCTTAAAGCAGAGCTAAGTCTCTCTGTAAATCTGCTAATTCACATCTTTTTGGAGTACAGGCAGATGCATTATTCTTAAAAATAAATCACTTTCTCTTTATGCCCCAGTGAAGCTATTGTAAAGATCCTGAATATGACAAGTTGAAAATACAATCAGTGAGCAGGTATAAGAATTGCAAGTATTATTTCACCATAAATAACATAACATTGACATTTAGCAACATGAAATGATGCTCTATAAATACCAATACCTCTACTGAGTCGGACTTTCCACAGAATTAACTCTATCCATGTATTTAATTACTCTATTGACCTCAAGTGAAGAAGAACGTATACACTCACCAAAAATTACCCTGGTGGCGGTCACTTATCAGACAAGAAAATAAAAGTCATTCAGGGAAACATTTCCTAAATCTCCCCAAATCCTGACTATGTTTTCTTTGAATAAATATTTATTGTAGGATAGTTTTTGACTTACAGAAAAGTTGCAAAGATAGTATGGAAAATTCTTGTATACCGCACATTCTCTCAACTTCTTACATTAGTATAGTACATTTGTTACAATTAATGAACCAATATTGATACAGTATTTTTAACTAAAATTCACATTTTATTCAGATTTCCTTAGTTTTTACCTAATGTCCCTTTCCTGTCCCAGGATCCCATCCAAAATACCACATTACATTTAATTGTCATGTTTCCTTAGGTTCTCTTGGCTGTGACGGTTTCTCAGACTGTTCTGATTTTTGATGATCTTGACAGTTTTGAGGAGTACTAGTAAGGTATCTTGTAGGATGTCCCCTAATCTAAATTTATTTGATGTTTTTGTCCCTCAGTCTGGATTTATCTGATGTTTTTCTCACCACTAAACTGACATTATGGGTTTTGGGAGAAAGACCATAGAGGTGAACTGCCATTCTCATCACATCATACCAAGGTTACATACTATTAACGTGATGTATCACTGTTAATTTTAACCTTGATTACCTGGCTGAGTGTCAGTCATCTCCACTGCGGACTTCTTTTTCCCATTTCCATACTGAACTATTTGGAAAAAAGTCAGTATGTACAACCCACAACTACGGAGTGGGGAATTATGCTGAATTATCTGCAAATCTTCTGCAAAGCAGATTTGTCTATTTTCCATTCATTCTGCATTCATTTAATCATGCATTTATATGAATATAGTTATTTATTTTATACCTTGGGTTATAATCCATTGCTACTTTATTTATTTATCTTGTTGTTCGATTTTTTCTACCTTTGAACATTGGGAGCTCTTCAGTTGATTCTTGTATCCCTTTGACACACCCCTATCATGGTGGGCTTTTTGAGTACTTCTTTACTTTCTGGCACTGCAAGATACTTTAGCTTCTTCTTGTATAGTTCCTGTCCCAGTCTTAGAATCAGCCAGTTCTTCAAGGAACTCTAGTTCCTTTTATTGAAGAATGATATTAGAAACCAAGATCTGGGAACTAGTTATATATGTTTTTAAACACCTATTAATTACTAGGGCTAGACATAAAGAACTTACAAAATGACACATTTTGAGGGCATTGAAATTAATAAAGGGAAAGTAAGATTAAACTTCCATGTCCATTTTTATAGTTCCATAGAAAAATTTGGTAGTTTCTCGTTTTGAGCATTTATCATAATCAAGAAGAAATATTCTAGTCTTTAATTTTAATGTGATAGAATCAATGTGTTTGAGAAGGTGGCAACAGCTAAAATAACTTTTTAATTTTAAGCTGTTTTGAGGTTTCTATTTTTTCAGCAAGAGTACTGTTTTAATCTTTTAAAAAAGTATATATATTCGAATGCCGTAATTGCAAAATAAAGTCTATATCTAATAATCTATCTATATGATATGGATATGGTAAAGCCATGAAACCAGAAATTATCTGGCCCTACTCCAGCTTCAATAAACCATAAGCAGAGGGGCCTGATTAAGAAATTGTTCCTCTCTCTTATTTTCCCTTGGGAGTTACAGGAAAAAGACAGGTGATAGAAGCAGAAAGTATTTGGGCATTAGCAGCAATCAAATACAGAGATATCAAGCCCCACTCAGCCTGGGCCTCCTCCTATGAGTGGATGTCATCAGTCCAGATCATAGGGAGACTGCATTAGGATGATCAAGCATGAAAAGCATCTATTCTATTCAAACTTAAGTTCCAAGGCTCCCATTGAGTCTTCCTTACATTTCTGAGATCTCAACAAACCATGGTCCAACAATGAAGGAAGGCAGCTGGAGTTCTGGAGGAGGAAAAGTATTCTCATCCAAATCAGACTGATTATGTCAGGAAATATTTGGCATCCCATGCATACCTGTGATTAGGCCAAAAACACTTGCCTTCATTTTCAATTGTGCACTTGCATCTTTAAGCCAATTAACATAAGCTAGAAGTCCATTAAGGCATGTCAGCATGGAAGACTCAAGTCTCAGGCAAGCTTCTGCTCAAACTTTTGTCACATTATACTGTTTTCCCATGTAATATTTTACTTTAGTCACAGCCAGGAGACGATATAATAGTATACGTGAAGCTCAGAAGTTATCAGGCACTAGTTGGAATGGTGAAAAGATTCATAGGTAGGAAAAAAAATTCAGACAGACCAGAGTTCAGTTTGCCTATATCCCAGTGTTAGTCCAAGAGTACTGGATGAAAGACTAAGACCTAGTTGTGAATCTTAATTTTGCTATTATCTAGTTCCATTAGCACAGGCAAGTTATTCCATACTTTGGAGCCTCTATTTCATGAACCATATATTGAATGGTTAAATTTGTTGGGTATTATTACTATGACCCCATAATCGTTATTCCTGGGCATGACTGAGAGGGTAGACTTAAAATAATCCAAATCAACAGTATCAAGGAGAAGACAACCAGAGTTTAGGTAATTGTGCGGTACTGTTTTAATTCACTTTAGTGATGGCTGGGTTACATAGAAGGTACTGAAACTCAAAACTCTGACCTGAAATGAGGAAAGAGGAAGGGTTCTGGAGAGGAGAGCTGTCATCTTCTCAAGTGTTATATAACAACTGTTACGTCTATTCGGATGCAATAATCACTGTGTGGGAGTCTTCACTCCTTCATTTCCTTATCCTTATCTATATGAGCTCTCATGGAAGAGTCACAGAAGGTTGGAGATCCTTTTTTACAGCAGGTTATAATTTTGGCAGGTGTGCTGCCATCCCAAAAGGAGAGAAAAATTGAGGACAGAGAAATAAGAACCAAGGCCCAACAGTTACTACTGTGGAGACTTTTCCTGGTAGAGCAGCAGGATTCTAATTCATGATTCGGAAACTGAGTTTATTTAATAGGTGAAGCTCATTCTACTTAGCACCCCAGTGCAGATCACAAGATCACAGATACTAAAATGCAATATCATGTTTTTTCCCCCTCAAAGCCCACTTTTTCCCTTTAAGCGAGTTTCAGAAAGAATAAATCAAACCAAGCTTCTGCTCTCAAAAATGATCTACAGTTACAAGTTTGTACCAAAGAAATTCTATATCAAATGATTTAAAAACCAGAGACTCTTTTAAAAAAAGAAAAAAGCCAAGAGGCTTAAGTGTATGAGAACTGCATTTCCTGCCAGAAGGATTTCCTGTTTTAGGCAACCACAGTGAGGATGTGGTGAAACATCCGCCCTGCAGTCGTAGCCTGTGTTCCACAGGCCACTTCTCTGTACTACTCACCCTTCCTCCCCGACGAATGTGACATACAGCTTATTTCTCTGCAGGTCTTTTCGGGAGTAGCCCATAATCTGATTAAAAGCATCTTCAAGTAAGTGATCTCTTCTGATAATTAACCTGTCCGTAAAAAAAACAATTTGAAAAATACAGATTATTTCCCAATCCTTATCTTTCTAGAACTGGGCACTTGCCATTTAATTTCCATTTACCATAACTAACTAGGCAAAAAGGAGTGACTTAATGTCATTGCTATCTGCCATAGAGGACACATTTGTCTTTAACTATTAACAGCATTAACAAAAGTTACATAAGAGAGTCATTGGTAAAGAGAGCACCCCACCTATAACCTGTGAGAACAATTCAAGAGGCCTTTCTGAATGGGCAAATCAATTTATCCAAGAAGGATATGAAACAACACATGCACAAGACTTTTGTTTTGTAAAGGAAGAACAACCCTATGAGGTCATGTTTGAAGCCTGAACGCACCTAGACAAGGAATTCAATTAGCAAGTGCCTAGAGAGATGATGTCAGAACAGCAGGAAGAAAAAATTCTCAGTGTCCTCCACAGCAGAGGAGTTTGTAATTGTGCTTAATTTAATTTTCAAATTATGTGAATCTTGAGATTCCCCAAGGGATGGATGCAAATGACTAATACTTGCAATAGATTAATCTACTTGTGAAAACAACAATTAAATCATCCTTAAGCAGATATCAATTTGCCTTTAGTGAAAACAGTAATGGAAGGAAGATGATAGGGAGGCCAAACACACAAAAGCTTGATCAAGACCTTCTTCGTAAGTGAAATGTGAGAGTGGTAAGAGCTCTGAAAAGTATAGTGTTTTGGGAAGGCTGATGTTTTCAGAGGGTGATGATAGTGGAACGTGTGAATTTAATCAAGAAAGCCCTCCTCGTGGGGCAATGAGCCATGGGCTGTTGGGCTGGCCCCTGGACTTTCTCTCAGGCACCCAGGAACAGGGCAATATTGCAGTAGAGACCCAGCCTGCTCTGTCCTCTCTCAGGTGGCAGAGTGATCTCTAGTGGGGACATGGCACAGAGGTAGAGGTTGGGAGGAAGGGAGTATTAGTAAGGAGGGAATGGAAATAATTCTAGGCCAAAAAACATGATGATGTTTCAATTTCCTCATTTAAATGGAGGTGGATAAAGATGGGCAGACACAATATTCTTGACATTACATTGGACAAGTGAAGTTTATTTCACAGAACAAAATAGAGTTGAGCAGTGTTCCTACACTCAGGTCAGCTCAGTAGACAGTGATGTGCAATACGGGACATTGTGACAGCATTATATCTGATGCATATATTCTAAGCAACAACGAGGTGCTTTTCAGGAGAGAAAAACAAATCAGCTTTTTATTTTGCCTATATTTCTACATGGAATGTGGTAGTTTCTTTACTGTTTGTTTTAAAATCTTAAGCTCGACCGTGCTTAATTCCATAACAGTGTTTTAGATAATTCTGTAATTTACAAACACCAAAACAATTATACTGACTAAAACAAAGGTTGGTCATCCCAAATCATAATATCCTGCATTCTCAACTGCATCCCATCCTTTCACCATGTATATAAATCCTGTGGTTTGTATCACTTTGACTTACTTTAATTTCCCTGGGCCTTGTCCATATCCTTTAGTCTCTAATTTCCTGTAAAAGTTCCTTAGTTTGGCTTCAAAATCTCGCTTGTAAGGGGCAGGAGCCCGGGCATTGGCACGCTGCGTACCTACAGCAAACCACAAACAGAGGAGGGTGTGGATTTGTGCAATGTCCTGATGTTCATCACATCACCATGAAAAATATCACTGTGGGTTGAGATCAGAGTTAACAAGTAATAGGAAGCAATACTTTAAGTTCCTGCATTTTCAAATCTCCAAGTTGAGGCTATAACAGAGCTTAACCAGGGCCTTACGCTATGTCTTCTTTGTGGCATTTTGGTTGAAAAGAACAATGCTGTTCAAATAGTTACAATGATGCCCATGTATTACTCAAATATGTTCCCCTTTTCAGTCCAAGCTAATATGAGTCAAACAGGGTTACTCATGTCTAATGGTAACTGTAGAGGTTACCATTGCTGCTGAGATGATATCATGGCAATTAGACAGAAAGTTACAGTGTGAAAGTATCTGGCACATAAAACAAGAACAGTAAGTTCCACACTTTACTTTATGGAAAACCTACAAAAACTTCTTTTAGATATACACCATAACTGAGAACTATTTTATTCACATAAGTACATACATTTCATATTGCAGGGTAGAATAATCTTGATATAAAAACAGAATTCAGACATATCTGCAGAAGTCACATGCCTCCTGGTTACACAAAGAGTAAATAATACTGCTACTTGCTATATTCGTATTATGTGCCAGTACTGTAATTACCTACAGATCATCTAAAGATGTTTTATACGTCATCTTATGGCAAGTATCATTAATAAAATGTAGAAGTAACACAGTTTGTTCCTCTTTTCATAGAAAAATCTGGCTTTGGGTCATAAAGTGACTCACCAATAAGCCAAGATACAAAAGGTGACGATGAATATAGGAATCAGACGCAGATCCATGACAAAAACACTGGCTATTTCCACTAAATATTTCACAACACAATAAAAGAAACCAGAAAACAAAAGTTGTGGAGTCTTGTGCATTATACACCATGTAAGCTCATTAAATATTTCCTTAATGAATGAATCACTAAATTCATTGTTAATACTGTGAAGCCTAGCAACAGATTCTGAAAATGAATAAGATGAGGTTCCTGGACTGCCTATCTCGGTTGAGAAGACAGCAATGAAACAATTAGAGAATAATTAAGTCCTAAACTAGATGGTATACAAACTAGGAAGCAGAGAGGACAAAATGATAGCCCTGAGGCCAGACCCAGACCCCAGAGGCCAGACCTATTAATCTATTTTGCTTGCTATACAATCACCTTTAAAGATTTTAAATTAACTTTCAACATTTAAAAATTAGGAGATTTCAAGTAAAAAAAAAAAAATCCAGATTTTCTTTTGAATATGATTTGGGAGCTCTTGCAACAACTGGCTTGCATTTTCCTGGGGCTGCAGCAGGCAGCTGCTCAAGTAAACAAGCATGTGCTCTCCACTGTTTCACAGCCACTCAATGACACTGACTACCTGGGCCCCCTTGGTAGTTGCTTTTGAGGTCGGAGTTATAGACAAGTGATAGTAAATGAGGATACGTGGAGATCAAAATGGAAAAGGCCTTAGGGAAGAGGCTTTATTGAAATCAGGCCTTGTAAACAGGAGGATCTGTATTCTATACTGGGGCAGGGCAGCAAGAGCTAAATACGCCTTGCACGCATGCTCCAGAGTAGAGGGAGAGTGGTGGGGAGTAAGTGAGAAATTAAATCAGTCAGAAGATCAGAGACAAATTACGAGAGAAATTTTTTAAAAACCTAACTAGGGAGATTGGGCATAATACAGTGGGCACTGGGAAACCTTTCTAGGTTCCTTAAATAAAACAAAAGCAGTGTTTTATTTAAGAAATGATTTTCAGAGAGTGTTGAGTACATTAAGGGTGTGAAAAGAGCAGAGGCCTGAGATCCAGCCAGGAGTAGTTGCAGCAATTGAAGCTTGAGGGGATGAGGACTAGGCTGCAGTGATGAGTCAGAGAAACATTTACAATGTGAAATAAGAGTTGGTTATAGTAGATATGTAAAGAAGATAGATAGGAAGCTCTCAGTGGTAATACAAAGTTTTTAAAACAGTAACGATAGTTATTTGTTAAATGCCTGCTCTGCATTAGAGACCAAGCATTTTACTTAGAGGATCCTGGGGAATCCTCGCAAGTCTGTGAAGTAGGCATTATTATTATCACCATGATCACCGCTTTGTAAATCAGGAAACTGAAGTCATATGTCAGTGAATGGTAGGTTTGGGATTTGAGCAAGGTCTGTCTGATACTAAAAGCAGTGTAGGAGATAAGGCTGGTGGACAGGGCACGTGAAACTTTATACATATGGAGCTGGAGATGACAGCTATTCAGGTGGATATACTTTATAGACACTTGAAAATATGGTACCAGAGTTCTGGTGAGAGATCAGGGCCTCACTTGTGGATTAAATGAGTCACTGTATATATGGCACTTGTGCAGTGCCTCTGCATAAGAAGCCCAGATAAGTGTTAGCTCTTACTGTTATTATCTGCACAGAGGTGAATACTAAAGACATAGGGAAATGTGTTGGGGTTTTAGGAATGGATCATAATAAACTAGCTATTGATTAATAATATGTCCAGAAGTCTGTTTGTGTAGTTATCAATCCTTCATCCAAAGAGCTAAGAGCTATGTCATAAAGGATACAAATAAACTTGACCTTAAAATGTCTAGGTTACAGAAGAGATTCCTAGGCACTTAGGAAGCTTTTAAAAATCTGTGTTCAGGCCACACCCAAGACACATTACATCAGAATCCGTGGGGGTGGAATCCAGGCATAAGCGTTTTATACCGCTCTCCAGATGACTCCAAAGAACAGTCAAGTTTGAGAACCATTATCCCCTACAGGGTGGTTACATGTAACCAATGAAACACGTGGGCAGCATCCAGGGACCAACATGGGGCAATGCTTCCTGTGTATTTGAAAGGCATCATTTGCAACATAAAGGAACATGATCTCCACCAACACGAGGTTGCTCTCTTAGATGGCCGAGGGACAGGGCAATGGGCCACAAGTCCACTCAGGGGTGGCAGAATAAAACTGTCAGTCCTGCAGTCTGAGAAACTGCAGACTAGTAAACCCAGACAGCTCAGAAAGCAGCTGTAATGAATCAGGTATCAAGAGCACAATCATTGACAAAGAGGAAAAAGAACAAAAGACTGAATGAAATCTTTCAGAACTCAAAAGAAAAATGATTCTTTAAAAGTTCACTACTTAAAAAACCAAAACAGCACACATTATTGTTATTGCTGTATAATCTGAGATGCTTAAAAGGATGTAGGAAAGGCCCTAATGCATTCCATCAATATCAATGCAGACACTTAATAAAAATTAGCTCCATTTATGCACTAGGTAAAGTGATTCAAGTATGGAGATTCTGGAGACAGACATTGTTAAACGCAAAAATTCTTTTGCTAATAGTTTGATTATGAAAAGTCATTTACACATTACTTCATGGTTTAAAAATTACAGTAAATTATGTTGTTGGCCCTTGTCAAATTCTTAATGCAAGTCAGGTGCAACTGCGAAGAATGTCTAGGCAATAACGATGTTACTTCCACTGTGGAAAACAAAAATGATCTTGGAAGATTGAGCTGACAGAATTGTATGGGAACCATAATTCCAAGTGAAGTTCTAGGATAAAACACTCCCACAGAGTAATTTTATGATCTTTATGGTAATAGGAAGTTAGATACGAAAAGGTCAGCGTTACATATAGGAAATGATCAAATGAAAGGCTGACTTTATGGACAGTCGGCATTATGTTAATTATTTGCAGGAAAAAATTTCAGTAAGATATTAGGTTTTTTTCCCCTTTTCTTCTATATAGTGTTACACTATTTCTACTTACTGTTACAAAATTGCATAATCATGTACAAATTTAAAAAATTCTACCTGACAAAATACTTTGGATGGTATCAGAAAAATCTTAGCAACAAACTTCTAAGAAGCCTGGGGATTTTTGTTGTTTTTTTTTCTTGTTTTTGATTTTGGATGTGCCACCGAGAACTCAGACTGTTTTAATGGCTAGCTCTCACTCTGTGTCTGCCAGGGATGGAGCTTGGCCCAATCCAACGTGGCTCCAAGCCTCTGTACTGAGACAGCTCAGGAGCTCACTTCTTTCCTGGTCCACTTTCTAAAAAAAAAATCTCTATGATATTTATATATATATATATCTTCTGTATTTCTTTTTTAAACAATTCCCCGTTACTGAATGAGAACAAACTATCAAGCATTACAATAATTTCTGGAATACTCCCTCTTCTGGAACATAGCTCAATAATGGAAATTAAAGGGAAAAAAACACCTACAAAACAGCTGGCACAAAGCACAAGGCTGAAGTCTTCACATTTTTGCTTTATTCCCTAAGAGCAGTAAAAGGCCCTCAGGTCATTGTTTTGAGCTTGCTCATGCTTTCATTTACATACTATTTGTATAAAAAAAAAAAGCCCAATTTGATAGTCTGATTTCTCAGACTGAAATAATGTATTAAAAGGGAAAAGCTGAAAGGGCATGCCAGCATTAGGGCTGGGGGACAAGGGAGACTAACAACAACAACAACAACAACAACAACAAAACAAAAACAAAAACACCTCTCTATTGTGACAGAGATTGTATTAGGCTCTTCTTTGGTCTCTGGAATCACAACTCCCCCATCCCCAGACACTCAGGGAGCACCCTTGATTTGTACCATTTGGTTCCTACATCATCTTTGTGGGGCTGAGCAAAGAGAAGGGATAGAACACTGTTTCTAAAAAGAAGTATAAAGCTACTTCAGAAACCGTGGGAAAGAGAGAGGGAGGAGGAGAAGAAAGGAGAGAGAGAGAGAAAGAGACAGAGAGACAGAGAGACAGAGATAGAGAGAGACAGAGACAGAAGGAGACAGAGAGACAGAAAGAATGTTTAAGAAAAAGAGCAGGTGATGAGATACACTGCAGCTAAGATGCTAAAACTTTGAAAAGAGTGGGCGAGGAAAGGAGTATCCTTAAGGAGCTGCACCATGTATGGGCAGAAATAACTCCCTCTCATGTCCCATGCCCTGAAGACAAGCTTCAGTGAAGACCTATATGGCTCTTCAGTGCTTTCTGTTCTGTTTTACTTCCGTTGAGGGGGACCAAATGCTAATCCTAGCTTCTGGATAGTCCAGTTCCAGTCAAGTAACAAGAGCTCTGTATGATGATCCCCCCAAGCCATGAAATATCCTCAATACACTCATGGCTTTGGTTGCGTGGAAAATTCACATAAGTGAGCACATCTTTAACAATATTAGATAAATTCGGTGCTATTGCATTTAAATTCCTAGAAATGTGCATCTAGAAAAGGTCCTTAGCTAAACTTCTGGGTCCCATATTTGGCATAACAAACCATATGGTGTTTGCAAAGATCTTTTCTTTCTGGCATAGCTAAGGTTGGGATTGGCATTATAACAGTCCTGGAAAACGAACCTTCAGATTCCAAGATTTTGACCAATTTTAGGTGAGCACTCTAACAGCTGCAAATAGCAGTGAGTCAAAGTTTCCAAAGCTCCTGTCTCTTCTGTATTTGAAAAGACATGTAAATGTGCTTGGAATGAGGAAAAGTGTGGTAACTGTACCAGGTTGTTAGGCGTTCTGAAAGAAGATCATTAAAATTTATTATTGTCATAATTTTCACAATATTATTCCCACACCACAAAAAGGGATGAAATTCTAGTCACGAGGAGGATCAGACAAATTTTAAAAAACTGTTTGAAGTGTTTTCACAAAAACTTTAGGGATTCTGGTACAAGGAGAAGCTATTTTACTCAAAGAAATAAGACTGCTCCGCTGGGTCAATGTGGCTAGCTAGTCCTGTCCTGGTATCATGTGGAATTAGTTAAAAGTTACTCCCACTGAGATCAGGCAGTACATCCCAATTTCAAGATCAAATAAAGCCCACTAAAACAGAGAAGCCAAAAATATGGAGATGATTCTTCCTGAAAATTGAAACCACCACAAATACTGCTAGCCATTTAAATATATTTGGGTTCTACATGTCTTTGGAAAATATTCAACTCTAAATCTGCTTTCAAAGTGCGTTTTACTACTACCGTGGGTTATTCATGTACATTTGTGATGCTAAATTAAAAGAAGCGATCTAGTCACCATTTAGGATGTGCATGCAGTCTCAGAGACTGTTCAGCCAGTCTCCAAGAGCATATGCCTTTATGAGGCTCAGAAAGGACAGAACCTGGTGATCTACCTCTTTCTTGGGGAGGATTGCACCAGAAAAGGCCTGAAAAGGAGAGCCTTGATTGCAATGAGCAATAATCCACACAGCTTCATTTTCTTAATCATAAAGCATCCGTAAAGGGACCACACATTTAAACCTCATCATAGATTTCAGCTAAGATAAGGATCAGTTAGAATAATTAAATATCTAAGCAGCCAGTTCTGGAAATCAGGAAGAAATGGAGTTATATATTCTAGTTATGGATGGTTCAAATATTGACAAACTATACTTCTCAGAATCCAATTTCCAAAAAGAAAAAAAAAAAAAAGAAAGAAATTAACATTTACTGGATGCTTTTCATGGTGTTCTCCATCAAGGTGTTCTCCACAGGACTACGGGAAGTGATTGCTATTATTCCCATTTTACAGAAAAAGAAATTCTAGGTCAAGAAGGAAGTAAATTGCCCAAAGTCATACATAGTTGATGAAGACGGAGGCCAGCTGTGAATTATATCAATTTTCCCTTACACCTTTAAACTGTCATATGCTTATTTATTTTTATCCTGTATCATCAAAATAGGTGATATTTTGTTAGGTCCCTATTTTTATCCTGTATCATCAAAATAGGTGATATTTTGATAGGTCCCTATTTTGTTCCAAAGATGACCACTGCTTTTGCCTCTAGTGTCCTGTCTTCCCGTGGGCCTGTGCTGTGTTGACTGCTGCTACTTTGCCCCATTCGAGGAACTGCTTTCTTTCCACCCACATTGTTTGACCTCTGCACACATATACGCTCAACTTCCCCATCCTAAAGTGCCTTCCTTAACTCTTCTCCCTCTAAGTACTGTTTTGTTTTTCTTTCCTTTCATACTTCATGAAAAGAATACTTCTTTCATTCTTTTCATACTTTGTGAAAAGAAGAGTCTACACTCCTGGCTTCTACTTTACATCCTGTATCATTCTGTAACTGGTCACATTCCAGTCTGTGACCTATTACTTCATAGAAACTGCTCTGGCAAAGGCCATATATACTGCATGATTTTCAAATTTAATGGCCTCTTCTCAGGCTTCATCTTTTTAAACTCTTTGAAAATTGGCCCTGTTAATCACTCTTTCTTGGAACCTTGCTTTCCTGAAAAGACTTTCCTAATTCTCTTCCAAAACCCACTGGCTTTCTTTCTTTCACTTGCTCCTCTATCTCCCTTAAACACTGGAGGTACTCATGTTTCCATCCTCTATTTTCTCTTCTTTCCACAGACTTGTCCTTCCTAGTTCTTTTAGTCTACACTCTATGCCTCGCCTGCTACCAGCATACCTGTATTCCTAGCCACCGACTCTCCTGAGCTCCAGGACTGTCTTTTCCAGTTTTGTTTGGGTATCTTCAAAGATTCCTCAACAAAACATGTCCCAAGCCAAACTCGTTTCCCCTCTCTGCTTTTGTCTAATCTTTTTCCTTTCTTGGTGAGTGGTGTTACTATTTGTCTATGTAGTCTAGGTGGTGAGGATCTCAAAATCTGTCTAGACACATGGACTCAAAGTCCTGGTGTCTCTACATCCTACATATCCTATGAATGAATTCTCTTTTCTTCATCGTCACTAGTCCAGCCCTTTAGCATGTCACCTGGATCAATGCAACAGCCTCCCAATTAGTTTCTCTGACTCTCGTCTCTCATCTTCCAATCTATCCTCTGTATTCCCATCCAATTGATCTATGTAAAACATGACGTTCCTCTGTAAATTTTCAGTGACTCCCATGAACTACAAAACAAGGCTTTAATAATCAACTGGCCCGAGCCTATCTTTCTAACCTAAGCTTTGAGAACTTGCCTTCACTTGTATCTATTAATTTGCCCTAAACTACTTTAATGCTTCTGTGGCTTAGCTTATGCTACTCATTTACCTAGAATGTCCTTCTTCCTTTGGTGTACCTGGTAAACTCCTGTTCACCACTCTTCAAGGCTCCCCTTCATACTAGTTATTCTTCGTCTTTCCCCAAACACCCCACCCCCAGTCTTAAAGGAAGAATTGTTCCCACACCTGTGTTCCCATACATCTCTTGATTATAGGACTAACCACAGAGCTTTACAGAGTCATTTGTTGACTCACTGCCCCACCATGAATCCTTCAAAGGCAGAGACTGTATTATTCATCTTTATAGCATCAAGGTTTAGTTCAGTGCTTGGACTATAGGAGGATGCTCAATAAATCTGTGTTAAATGAACAAGTTAATAGACCTTTTCCTGTTTGTGGTATTCAATTAGGCTGTAGCTTCATTATCATAACAATATGTGAAAAACACATGTTATATATCAAAGAATGTAGAGCAGCTTTTAGTGATACATATGGAGTTTAGATGTCTATTAAAATAGTTTTAAAATCTGATAGCTGTTAAATTTAGTGTGAACAATACATTGTCTATAATAAAAATAAATATAGCCGATGTCTGTCAACATCATGACTACTTTCCTTCAAAAAAATTCATTTGTCATGCTCCATTTTCACCATTCATTCATTCATTCATTCATCTACTCTTACATTCACAACATCTTTAGAAAAAAAAATTGAACTTAAACATTTTAGTTTGTTCCATCTACCAACATATTCTGTCTGCCCATATGTCTCTTGTCTTCCTACCTAACAGAGTTAGTGACCACTGCAGGAAGAAACTATCCAAGCTCATTAAACTAATTTTAATTCTATATTATTTCTTAAAAGTAGAGATTTCTTTTTATTATTCATTAAATCAGTCTCCTAACTAGAACTTTTTAAATCAAAAAAGCGAACATAGTATTTTGTGCGCTAATATTTTCCAAGGTACATTAGGCACTACATAACATAATGAAAAGTAAAATTTGTATCTGAGTGTATCATACTGCTAACCTTTATCCTCCTAGTCTGGAATGTCATTATCTTCCTGTCAAAATGAATTCCCATGGAAACAAGCCAGTTTTAAAAGACAGAAAGTGCCACACAATATGTACCTGTGCTAACGCTAAAGATATACTCAAAGTGTTCCTTTATTGCCCTTCGTGGAACAGAACATCTGACTGTAGGGTTCACTCCTGAGAGAATTCAGGGTGAGCTGCTGGTGGACTCACCTGGCGAGTTCTGGGGAGAGGACACTGGGGAGCCACGTGGAGACTGACAGTAGCTGGGGTGGAGTAAGGCATGTGGAGGCACATAAGACATTATCTCTTCTTCAAATAAACTGGGGAAAAACAAGAAATGAAATGCATACATTAGCCATGGAGGTGGGGAAAAGCCCTGTTACCACAATGAGAAAGACGGCTGATTTCCCATTTTGATCCATTTCATCCGAAGTCCAGTCCACACCCAAAGGGAGCACTTGTCCCCTTTTTCCTGCACATATTTCTTGGCTGGCTGTTGCAGCTTTTGTCAAACCTGTGGTTACTTGTCTATTCTCCTACCAACTCTAGAGAACATAATTTCTGTTTTGCCTCTTTAATACATGAGTTTGAGTTTACATGTTTGTTTGAAATCGTACCTCGGTTTTTAAATTTGGGAATAAGATTCAAACACAACAGACATTTGTTAAGAACCCATAATACATATACAAAGTATGTCCTATATCTTCATTCCAAGAAACGTATAGCAGGGTCTCAGCCTTCAAAGAGCTTAGGATTTAATTGGAGAGCTGAAAACAAAATAAAACTCTTCCTCAATAATTACAACTGCTAAATAATTAGCTCCCTCATTTACTGTGGCTTTATAATGGTTTTCAAATGTGAGCGTTTTGATGTTAGATTATTCAATCCTGAGTCTTCTTTCTCCACTATGTTGAAATTTCTGTTTCTAATATTCTTTCTAAAAGATAGTAAGCAGATATCTGATATCTTGGAATCCCATAATATCAGAAATATTATGATAAAGAGAAGTAGTATTGATTACAATCAGCTCAAATATACAAACACTTAACCAAACAGAATTAAAACAATAAGAGTTTATTAATTAAGAGGTGGAAGTAGGTTCACTTCAAACTTCCCAAATCTAGGAACCTGTTACTGATTTTCAGAAAATATTCAGAAAAAGTGGCAACAATTTAATTTTGCAGAGATTTGAGGATATGACTCCTAAGGGCCATAGCGCTGGTTCTCAACTGAGGCAATTTTACTCTTCCACCACACTATCCAAGGACATTTAGCAATGTCTGAGAACATTTTTGATTGTCATAACTGGATGAGAGGGCACTTTTAGCATCTGCTGGGTAGAGGCCAAGATGCTGATAAACATCTTACAATGCACAGAATATCTCCCTGCAACAAAGGCGTATCCAGCCCCAAATAGCAATACTTCTGAGGCTGAGAAACCCTGGGTTATAACAAACTAATAACAACATGAAAAGTCTTTCTCTTCTTCTTCACTCACAAGCATATGTCTGCTAGACCATTGTAGCAAAGCATTTTTAGACATGATATTTTTTAAAGCCATCTTTCCACTTTTGAACTAAAAAGTCAATAGATTTGGAAACAGAAGCAGTAAGCAATCATATCTGTAATACTAAATTAGCCCTGAAACAGTCATTTCTTTTTCAATAAATCAGTAGCCATTGGAATAATGTGAATTTAAATGTAATTACTAGGAAAAGTCCCATGTAACAGTTGCTACCTCAAAGATCTAGAAACCTATAATTAATTGAAGACTAGGAATTAGCATCCTGTCCTTAGACATCTACATCTGTGTCCCTTTGCTCCCTGATATTTATTGCTTCCTTTAAAGATAACCAATACTCATGAATCTTTCATATCACAAGAGAAATTTTTTACCTGAAAAATTTAATACATAAGAGATAGGGAATGATATAAAAACACATGATTCATATCATGTGTTTATAGTATTAATACTATATATTTATTATATATAGTATTAATAAATGTTAACATTATATTTTACTTCAAACACACACATATATAGATCTGTATATAGATGTACATATACATATCTGCATGTATGCAAATGTGTATATGAAGTCCTTTTTGTTCTCCTCTACCATTACTTCAATAGGTATCCTTCCTTCCATAGTTTTTTAGTTTGCAACATATATGCATAGATGAATATATAGTTTTGCCTTATGCACTGCTAAAAATTATAATAGCTATATGTATACAGCATTCTTGAACTTTTTTCGTTCAACAATATATTTCTGGTATCTGTCTATGTTGATACATAAGGATCTAGTTTCTTGCTTTTGTCTGCTATGCAGTAGGATATTCTTTGAACAAATCAATTTATTTATCCCTATCTCTTCTGACAAATATTTACTTTTTCCCCTGTTTTGTGCTTTTATCAATAATGGTACAAGGAACACCCTGTATATATCAACTTACATATATGTTAAAGTTTTTTTAGTATAAGTATGGTATATATCTAAAAGCAGAATTAATCAGTCATAATGCAGATGTCTTTTCAACTATACAAGATACTATCAAGTTGTCAATCCCACCAAGTCCAGACAATATGAGACCTCCTATTTCTCACTTGGTATTATCAGGTTTTCTGACTTTTTTCAAATCTAATAGTGTGAAATAGTATCTCATTACTTGAAATTGCATTTTATGATTGCTAACATCTTTCCATAAGCTTATTGGTTATTCTTGCTTCAATTTCTATGAAATGCCTTTTTATATCCTTGACCTATTTTTCTTTTGGGTTTTCTTCTTCTAAATTGATTTTAAGGCATTCTTTATGTATTCATGACATCTTTGTTTTATGTGTTGTGAATGTATTCTTCCACTTTGTTACCTTTTTTTATGTCTTTATATGTGGTGTCTTTCATTATATGAATTTTAAAATTCAAATGTAGCAAAATTTAACAATCATTTCCTATATATGCTCTGAGGGAGGCACATTTTTACATGAGTTGAATTAGTGAAAGATCATATAAAATAGAATAATCAATAACAAATACAAAAAGGTCATTTCAAAACTCTTGAGTTTTATCATACTATATTGGAAAATATCCTTACATGGGTTTATTTTGAATTGAATCTTTTCCTATAGCCACATCATCTCTACATTGCAACTTGCTGATAACCACATCCATTTGTACCAGGAGTGACTTTCTTTTTAAGAAATAGACAAGTTTAAAAACAGACACAAAGTCTTTCTCTATGTAAGCAACAAATTCATTGCTTGAGTTTATAGTCACTGATTCAAATGACTCAAACTTCAAAATAAAATAAAAAAGAACTGAGGCTATCCCAAAAGGTTTCAATAATCATTAAAAATTATTTATTAAGCATACACATTTAATACACTGTATCACTGTGTACAATTATTAAAATAATAAATACATTTAATCACCCTAATAAGTTTAGAATTGAATAACATCATTTATAATAATTATAGAACTATTATATAAAAGTGAATTTCTCATGCTTCTTTCAAGGCCTATAAACTTCAGAGAACATGCTTATTTCCCTGAATGGGAGAAAATGTAGCCTTGCTCTTTATGTACATATACATATATCAGTTTTCAAATATTTTAAAATTCTACCACAGAACACATAGAAAGTCATGCAAACTGTGGTGTTTACCAAAGTACAAATATTCTAAGCTATATTGTAACTTAAAATATTTAGAACTATACCATCTAAAGATTATTTAACTAAGGACAGGTGAATGGTAATCATGATTTCTATTTTATAATCATTATTGTTTTTACTAATACCAAAGCAGAATTCTTTAGTTTAAATGAAAAATCCTTGATTTCTGGAATGAAGCTATAGAGTCAGAATTTTATAACAAAACTGACTATTATATTACCAAGCAAACTATGGTAGAAACATCATACTCCATATTAACTGACCAATAGTCTTCCTGACCGTCTAGCATACTATATCCTGTTTTCAGAACTAGTTCAGTGCATCATAGTCAAGGGTCACCCTCTAAAGTGAAAAGTAACCTCCCTCCCCAATAGGTCTTGTTCAGAATCAAGTGAAATCTTTCTGGAAAGTGATTATATCCCTTTGAATTATATTCCAACTATCCAGTAAAGGTAAGTAACTTTTTGGCTTTAGTTTTACAAATACGTAAGTAGTTAGAAATAGTTAGGGTCAAGATCATTATGAATAACATGAATGAGATTATTAGCACTTTGGTATAAATAAAACACTGCCTGATAATGGCTCAACGTGACTTTCCTTTTAATTCTGTGGAGGTTACAGTGGTGGGTGTCCCAGTCACTGGACAGAGCAAAGCATTATTTCACTCTGGCCTCCTACATTTGAAGGATAATGTTAAAAATGAAAAAAGGCTTTTGAAAACTTGCTATGTTTCTCTTCTAAACTACTCTAAAATTTAAAACCAAAGCTGATCTAACCATCAGGAAAGAAAAGACAATAGGTCAGTTTTATGAAGGACTATCAAGCTGGCCCTGAATACCAGTGACCAAATTTCAACTCGATCTGATTTCTCAAACCTAAACTCTCAAAACCATAAAGCAAATAAATAGTATTGAATCAGCAAAAGGAGACAAAGCATATTTTGAGCAAACAAATTTGAAAGAAAATATAAACATGACCTCTTTTACTCTGGAGGAGTAAGCTGTATATACCCTTCTGTTCTATTATGGAACATTCCATTCAAGAAACTCTACAAACATTTCCTTTCTCTAACCCCACCTTCTTTACCTTCTTATCTCAGGGATAAGAACTACAATCTGAAATGAATGATCACTAACCCAGTATCTGGTAGTTCCACAGGTCTTCAAGAATAAAGGAGACCTTTTTAGGCTACCAATACTGTCATATTATTTTCTAAAATGTTCCATTATTTCTGATGACTGGAGACCTTCTACTTCAAGAACTAGTGTTACATACCTCAGCAACATAACAAGGTCTGCATCACTTGAAAGGCGCACCAATCCTGGGGTCCCTTCAGTTCGTATAAATTGGATCTTCTCCCTATTTAAGCAAAGAAACAGCTCACAGCATATGTGGTAGACTTTTGGGACATAACTCAGTACTTTAGGCACCATTTAAAAAAATAACGGTCACAACATTTTTGCGGTACCTATTATGCGGCAGCTACTGTGTGATACCCTAGTAATACACATAGTCCTTGCCTTCAAGGAGAACCTCAGGTGCATCAACATTGCCCAATCCTAATGCTGGGAAAAGATTCTTTTATTGCTTTCATTATTTTGCAGCCCCAGTCCTACCTTAGGTAGTAGTATCATTCAACCAATAAATCTCAGTCTCTGCTTTGAATTAAAGCTTGTTGTGGGCTTGAATCTAAACAATAGTCTAGACCATTAAGACTGATTCCGTTATTCCAAAAAGTGAGAGTGTAAGGGTATTCATCTCTTTTCCTGAGGGTATACTTCTAAATTATGTGTGATGAGCACATTCCTACTTGGAAGCAGACAGTATCTATGCATTATATACTCAATATAAAAGCATACAGCTGTTTCAAATAAGTGAAACTAGGAAACACTTTCAGTTACTACAGCTGGTGAAATAGATTGTGTGCATACCTGTGTACATGAATATATACTTATGTAAACACATATCAGACACAACAATATGAGATATTTCTATCATTATTTTATTATAGATATATGTGATACACGTGTTAACATGTTTTTTTTTGTTTGATGAGTCATGTCATTATTTTCGATTCTTTACATGAATAAAATTTTAATAAAAATTTTTCTAGTTGCTTCCCCCTCATTTACATAATGTTATTTCAAAGCATACCATATTAATTTGTATTAAATGAGAAAAAATAAGAACATAAACTATGGTACTGAAAGCAGTACACTTGATAGGAACATAGGGGCCAACACAAGTAAGCAATTTTTAGTGCTAATGACAAATATTAGGATTCCTATATACTATAAAATAGCAATCTCTGATGTATTTATTTATTTAGATTCAGTTCTTATCTATAAAGCATTTTTATATGATATTTTCTTAAAGTTCCACTGCATTTTAGATTTCCAAATTCTAAATTCTCTGCTTGAAGGCAATGAGGTAGAAAGCAAGATTTAATTGTTGAGATGAAAAATTCCCTAATGCACAGAAAAATCAATTGATTTGTCCTTAGTCACAAAGCTTGCTAGGAAAAGAAAAGAAAACAAAACAAAAACAGAGTTCAGTCCTCGGCTTTTTCTAGCTAGATCCATTTTATACAATACGTTAGCGTATGAAGCAACTAATCTTTGATATTGCCTAAGTTTTTTTCTGTTCTTCATATATATGTATATAAAACAAATGGCAGACACATACGTTAAGGAATTGTTCAGAAAAGAAAGGCCAGCCTCTTTGCTTAAAGTTATTTCAGTTTGAAGGCTTGAACCAAGCAGAACATTTGCCCTGAAGCTTTACAATCACATGTCTGAAGCATATGACGGAAACCAAGGCTCACTATCTGGCGATTGATTTTTCGATAAGAGATATAAAAGCTTTTAAAAAGCTAACCTAAAGAAAAGTTATCCTAGAGAAAAAAAAAGAGCAATAACTTAACCAAAAAAGTACTCCTATAAGAGTCAGTAACAATATGCTTTGATCTTGAAGAATCAAAAGCTATCTCCAACAAATACACAGTTTATCTCCTTAGTCTCTCATCACAATGAATCAGGCAAACAGCAAAACCAGAAAACAAACAGGCTGAGCACTCTCCTTCACTTCTTTAAATTGGAGCTACTCAGAGCAGGTGGAGTGATGACAAAGACATCATGCTCTGGACTGTGGCTTGTATGTTTCCTGTGAATAAGAAAAGGATCATAGCTTCCTGAGTCAAAAAGATGACAGGATGAGGAAAGGGAAAGACACCAGAGGAAATATACCAACTGGGCAACTTTTCATCACTTTCCAGATATTAACTCGTAAACAGTGAAGGCAAAGGATCTGATTTTTTAGGCAAGAACATACCAGAGGTAGGCTGAGAATAGCTTTCTACCAGGCCAGCTAACTCATCACAATGGCAAGCCATGAGTCATATGCTTCCAGGAACAAGACACTGGAGCACGTCATATGAGGTACATAATACCACTAAGTACTTTCTTATATTAACATTCATTTATTCTTTCAGCAAAGTAGACACTTTCTGAGTGTCTACTATGTGCTATACATAGTATCGCATACTGACAATCCAACAGATGGTAATCCAACAGATGACTTCTTTCTCAAAAGGTCATGGCACAGTGGAAGAGAGAAAGTTAGTAGACAATTCTAATATTACATGAAAATATTTAAATTGTTCCATTCACTTACCTGAACTCTGTATAGGCCTTATACCACCCCTATTCTATAAAGTCCTTTCCTAAAGTCTTTTCATGTAGAAACACAGAAGGCATTGGTCAAGAGAACAGATCAAGGCTGAGCACAAGAGAGAAGTTAGCAAATATCCCCAGAAATGTCACCAACCTTTACTGAGAAAGAGAAAGAGAAAAAAACAAACAAACAAAAAAAAACCAGGAACTACTTCTTGGTTAACAAATATCTATTTGCCTAATAATATACAGACTAGTATTTCTCAAACTGGTGTCCTTGTCTACTAGAAATCTACAGACATAATCTTGAGTTCTGGGATAATTTAAAATTTTTTCTGTTTTCACTTTGTTGATCAAAATTGCTAACAATTTTGGATAATATGCCTACTGAGGTAGGCATATTTTGGATAATCTAGGTAATATTTATGACTGAATATTACCATATGACTTTAGCTCCCATGTTTGCATTTACAAGACAGTTGGTGCCAAGTGATTAGATATAAACTTTCAAAGTGTCCGTGCCTGGCCCTTAAGTCATTATCAGGACTTTAATGTTAAATAAGGTAACAATAGTCCTTGTCTGCCACTCATGAACAATTCCCTTACCAATTAAAAGCATAAAGGTTTCATTTTGCAGTACTAATTTGCATAATGACAATGATGAAGTAAGGATAAGTAATGTATATATAAATTGCCAGAGGCTAAAAAGAAAACAAAATAAAGGGACTTAAAAAAAAAGTAAATTAAGCATTTATACTAAAGAAAGCATAAAAGATGTCATGATTCACTCTAAACAAAAATTTTACAACAGTTTACAAAGAGAAAATTTGGCAGTAGAAATATCACAGAGTACATTTGATATATTTTTTCTTCAGCATTGTATTTGGGGGTGCATTATTCAATGAACTGGTTTGTCAAAACGAATCAGTAGATAATAATAAGCTATTTGTTAAGAAAGAAAAATGATGAGCATGATAATGCCACAGATGCATGTGATAGACCATTAGATGCAAAATCAAACCAATCACATCAAACACAAGTGAAACAAAAAGCATAAATATTTCTTTCCATTGACAATGGTCTCGATATTGGTGATTTGGCTTTTGAGAAACAAAATCTTCTCACATTAATATCATTGATGCAAATATTACTGGTTTTTTAAGTTTTTACTTAAAAAGTCTTTTGGCTTTATAGTTTAGAAAAGCTATAAGGATAAGAAGTTTATGCATATTTTATATTTGTACATCTTTATGTTTCATTAAAACAAAAGTGATTAAAGTCAACATTGTTGATCTGCAATATTTTTTTTTCCTTTTGGAATAGAAAATAACAGATTTTCCTTTTAGAATAGAAAATAACAGGCTTCTAACAAATTTCCGTGAGTTCACTTAGTGTCTGAAATAAACCTAACAAGCTTGAGGATTATTGTTAAAGATACACATGACTGTTATTAGGGGGATATTTGAAAATTACATTAATATATTTACTCAAGTTTATTTTATAAATTTATAGAGTTATAAGGAATCCGTGGCAGTCCTCTAATTTCTTTTTTTACTGCCCTCACCTTAATGAAGAAATTCTATTCAATTTTCGTGGCTTCTAATGAGGGTTAAGATTATATTCAAATAAAATTTTATCATTTGACCTTCTCTACATGGGTATGTTTCCTTCTCTGTGCCCTTCAGCATAAATTCCAGCTCTTCCTCCTTTGGACCTTCTCTCAGGGCCACTCAGTTACAACTTCAGTTCCTTTTAAAACGCGAGTTTCTTGAGGGCGAAGCCCTCTTCTTTCCCGAATCTATTCAGTGTTTTGAATAAACTATCTTGCTATCACTTCTTGTTGTCGCAGCGAAAAAGAGAATCAGAAAGCTGACATCAGATTATTAACTAAAACAGGACCCATTGAGGGAAGTTCAAAGACAGGTAAAGTGGTAATCTTCAAAAGAAAACTCACAACTGTTATAACAAGATGCTTTAACTGTATAGTGACAACCTCAGGGAAAAGCTGCTGGCTATGGTTGTCCCTCAGATGCCCATAATATTTAGACTTTTGTAACCACTTCCTCCAGGCCACAAAGCACCCCAGAAGATAAACTCTAGCAGAAGATCATTTGAGGACAATGAACATAGTCTCGAGACCGGAATTCCCACAGAAAATACTCTCATCGAAACCAACCAACATTTTAGTGAAGTTAAAGAAGGGCACATGATCAAAAACAATCAGAAGCAGCAATGCCTCTAAACCACAAAACTCTCTGGATTGCAGATTGTGCACACACATGGTTCCTGTAGACACAGTGCAGTAAAAGCTGCCTGAGGGCAATTTTAGAGAAATCCCCATGAATTCTCTAATTGTATAAAATGAAGAAAGAAAAGTTAGCATTGATCATTCACACTTTTTATTTCAATCAAAGGGTATGGTCTGACTTGAAGGATAGAGTCAAGCAGTAAAAAGATCAACTTTTCTTTCTACTTCCCAAGATATAGGTTAGATTTGGAAATATAGGTCCATTATGGTCATATGATTTTTATGGACACACAGAATTGACATTAATGAGCTATAAGTTTCAGGGAAAAATTTGTTGTAAATAGATATAAATAAGTTCTTTGATTAGAATTTAAAGAGTTACTTAACTCTCTTTGCTGGTTTCCTCATTTTGAAATAAGTATAGTTACAGTACGTGCCTC